TCACGTGTTGCGATTTTGGTTTTATTCTTCTATCTTCTAGAAACATGGACTGCATGTTGCTTTGTTGTTTCAATTGTAATTTCTCATCATTTATGTTTGTGAGCACCCAGAGAACAATGTGATTTGGTGGCTTTATATAAATATAGTTATGAATGAATGAATGAATGAATGAATGAACAAAGAGGGAGGGAGGGAGGAAGATTGCCTTGTACAGTAGTTTAACAGAACGTTACTGGACAAAAGTTGGAAGCGACTGTTTGGAAACCCTATCTTTTGTGCACAGTTCCAAGTGTAGGTTAGAGGTTCATGAAACTTACATCAAAGACAATAAATGTGTCCTTAAGGTGTCTCCAACTACGACACCATCATACCTGACCATTGGCCATGTTGATAGCAGCTGATAAAAGTTGTAGTCCAAAACATTTGAAGGCCACCAGGTTGGAAGAGACTGATGCAGTCCTACAGAATGGGAGGGACAGCCTCTGGCAACAACCTCCAAGCCACCCTGGGTCCTGTACCACCTGAGGGAAGGTGATGTGGCTGCCCACCATTTGCCTGCTTAGGAACTCACTGCCCCAAGGTAAAAGGGAGATTTTAAATAAAATTATAAGACTAGCCTTATAATCCCCAGTAAAAGGTAAAGGGACCCCTGACCATTAGGTTCAGTCGTGGCCGACTCAGGGGTTGCGGCGCTCATCTCGCTTTATTGGCTGAGGGAGCCGGCATGACTAAGCCACTTCTGGTGTACCAGAGCAGCACATGGAAACGCCGTTTACCTTCCCGCCAGAGCAGTACCTATTTATCTACTTGCACTTTGACGTGGTTTCACACTGCTAGGTTGGCAGGAGCAGGGACCGAGCAACAGGAGCTTACCCCGTCACGGGGATTTGAACCGCCGCCCTTCTGATTGTCAAGTCCTAGGCTCTGTGGTTTAACCCACAGTGCCTCGCGTCCCATAATCCCCAGTAGGGATGATTTAATTGGCAAGAGTTGGCATCAGCTGGCATTCTGCATCCTGGTCTCACCGAATCCCATTTTCAGAAAGGCTAGGAAGGCTAATTTGTTTAATGTTTATGGAAAATATAAACAGTTGAGTCCTGTTAATTTCTTGCCTATTGTTGAGAAAATCTGGCATTGGGTTTGTTCTCCCTCCACTGTTGTGGGTTTTTCTATATACAATTCACATAGCTGTCACTTCCCTGGTTTATTATTCCTTTGCTTCTTTTAATTTCTTTCATACAACATGTCATCTCATGCAGACACTTGCTAACCAAGGTGTTTATTTAATGTTTATGTATTCTAAATATTTAAGAATAAAAATCATTTCCAGACATTTTCCTGCCAGTATTTTCAGAGGCCAACCTAACAATACTTGTCTGTCTGATCCCAGAGTTTTGTGTTTCAAGTTCCTTGTTTCAACAGCGACGGGGATCTATGGATCCCTCCCTCCACGCAAGAGAGCTTCATTGGAGTTGAAGGGTGAAAAGTCCATCAGCTCTATCTGCATTTCCAGTGCTATAAATCTGTCTCTGGAATAACCAAGTTTGTCTTCATTCTGCATTCTGATAAGATGTCATTACAAGAGTTATTTTAATCAAATTTTCAGTTATTACATTAGTGCATACTTACATGGGGCTTCTCTCAGCTGGCATATGGTGCTTTAAGTCTTGTGGCGAGGAAGAGGATGGAAAACATTTGATTTTTTAATTATTATTTTTGCTTTAAAAATGGAACCTCCAGCCAGACAATAAGCTTCAGCCAGTTCAAAACTGTAAAATCCATTGCCTGTCTATGTTGGGTCAACATAAGCACATCAACACCAATTAAAAACTGAAGCCCCAATTCTTTTATGATTTTATTATAAAAATGTTTGAATTGTTATATTGGGGACGACGTTTCCTATTTTATAGAGGGCAGCTCCCTCTTTGAAGGACTCTCAGATGTTAGTCCTCTTCTGAAGAGCTGTCTGGTACAAGTATGGTTTTAAATTGAAGAACCATAGAAGGGAGAGTGGAGCCTAGACATTTTCAACCGCCAGCTGGGCTAAAAGCCGTGTACCTCTTGCCATGGACTCAGGTTCCACAATAGATACCAATTTTGTAGTTTCTTGAGCAATACTGCTGTTTGGTGCATTTCCCCTCAAACCATCTTTCATCTAGTTTGAAAATGTAAGCTACAGTTAAGCGGAGCTGTGTACATTTGAGAGAACAGCTGCATACTGTGAGTGAAACCCGGTGCTTTAATGTTACCCAGTTTCATTGGACTCAACCTAGCTCAGGCACTTTAAATACAAGATGTACAAATATAGTATTGTACAGCTTTCATTTCATTTATTTTCATGGTGCTTGAGGAGGAAGAGTGCCCGGTGAATTCTGCCCATTGGTTTTATTTCCCCAAAGTAGGGTGGACTTCTGAGTCACAAGGCGTTGGGTGTGTGATGGAAGATTTAGAAGTCAGGGGAGGAGTCAAAGTTGGTCTCTTATGACTCTTGGCAGAAATGAGCAAATGTACCAGTACTCTTGCATAATATTGCTTTTAATAAACTGACACCTCATTGCTGCGAAGGGTTTCCTGTGAGGTGTGCTATGATGTGGATTAGCCTTCCAGGGCAAATGACATGGCTTGCAACATTTGAAAAGCAGAGATTATTCATTAAACCAGAGGTTGCCAATCTTTTGGCATTGGTGAACATATTTGCAAACGGGAGAAACTGTTGTGGTCACCACAAGCGGAGTGCAAACCAAGCACACACCGCAAAATATTATATTGGCTACAACAGAAAGGCGGAACAGGAAGAACACACTGCAGACATCAGGGAAGGCACCTGAATGCATGCATGCCCAAAGATGCCACATTGATGTTCCCTGCATTGAACAATATACTCTAGGGTACAATCTGGTATTCGACAGGACCTAGACTTGGTGACCTAGTTAGACTCTATTGTATCTTGTTCCTCCACAACATGCCCAGAATCCATGTAGTGATCTGAATAATACTTCTGAAAAAAAGAGAACCCTCTATCAAGCTGTCCACCTATCCACATCTACTTTCCTCTAACAATAATGCTGAGAAAATGACCTGTATATATTGTTGACCAGAGAGCAAAAAAAACTGTCTATAATCTGGCAAACGTCGGGAATGTGCAACAGGCAGCAAGCTGGCCACTTCTTTGTATTAAATTAAGAGTGGTTGTGTAGGCCACATTCTCACAAGTTAATTCATCAGGGGCCACATACTAGCAATGGGTGGGTACAGAGCCGTAAGTGAGCAGGGCGAACACCAGAAGTGATTGTGGCTACTGTTACCCCTTTTAATTTATATGTCATGGGCCCTGAGGGCTGGGGTTGGCTGTGCAAGGAAAGAGGAGTTGCCACACAGATGAACCCGGGAAGGCATCCAGTGGTCTGAGGAAGTCTCCGGTTCTGATCCTTAGACTGGGCAAGCGACCTAACACTTCTCCAGGAAGGCTGAACCAGTCGTGTCTGTTCATGCCTGCACTGGCATCTCTGTGACCTGAGTGATGGAGGAGGCATTACTGCCCTCTCAGAGGAAGATGGGACAGGCAAGTTAACAGGTTCCTCTGGAGGGGCAGGAATAGACATGATTTCTGACAACGGTGGAGGTGGTGGCATGATAGTACCAAATCATGCCCCTCTCGTTAAGTCAAGGTGCCTTGTACCCTAAGGCCACTCAAGTTATTTGGGTGCTTGAGGCTGGCAATCCCAAAAGTGTCTCTTCTCATTCCTGGCAGTAAAATATTAAATACTAAACACACTAAAATATTTTATTATACATATAAACACTTGTGTGTGTCCAGATGTCCAGATACTATAGTGTCCAGATCAAGGGAAGTAATAGTAGCACTCTATTCTGCCCATGGACTGCAAGAAGATCAAACCTCTCCATTCTTGAGGAAATCAGCCCTGAGTGCTCACTGGAAGGACAGATCCTGAAGCTGAGGCTCCAATACTTTGGCCACCTCATGGGAAGAGAAGACTCCCTGGAAAAGACTCCGATGTTGGGAAAGATGGAGGGCACAAGGAGAAGGGGATGACAGAGGACGAGATGGTTGGACAGTGTTCTCAAAGCTACCAGCATGAGTTTGACCAAACTACGGGAGGCAGTGGAAGACAGGAGTGCCTGGCGTGCTGTGGTCCATAGGGTCACAAAGAGTCGGACACGACTAAACGACTAAACAACAACAATTCTGCCTTAGTCAGACCACACTTGGAATACTGTGTTCAGTTCTGGGCATCACAATTTAAGAAGGATGTTGACAAGCCGGAACGTGGGCATAGGAGGGCAACCAAGATGATCAAGGGTCTGGAAACCAAGCCTTATGAGGAGGACCTGGGTATGTTTAGCCTAGAAAAGAGGAGACTGAGAGGAGATATAATAGCCATCTTCAAATATCTCAAAGGCTGTCATATGAAGGATGGAGTGAGCTTGCCCTGGAGAGTAGGACCCAAATGATTGCTTGACAAGAAAGGAGATTCCGACTAAACACCAGGGAAAACGTTCTGACAGTAAGAGCTGTTCAACAGCTGGACGGTCTCCCTCGGGAGGTTGCGGACTCTTCTTCCTTGGAGATTTCTAAGCACAGCTTGGATAGCTACCTGTGTAGATGAGATTCCTGCATTGCGGGGATTGGACTAGATGCCTCATGGGGTCCCTTCCAACTCTATAATAAATATATCATAACTTCCAGTCCTTTCAGTTGCCTAAACCCAGTTGCCTGAGGTGGCAGCCATACTCTCTGCCTAATGGTAGAGCCGGGAAGGATTTTAGGGTTAGCGACTGCATGGCACAGGCTGGGAGGGGTGGCCGCCTGGGCAGAGGCAGGGGCCACCCAAACAAAAGCGAAATCACTCGCTTTGCTCCTCAGGGTCAGCCAAGCAGCCAAGAGGACCTGCCTCCTCCCTCCTCGCGCTGCCACCCCTCCCTTCCCCCCCCCCGTCCCTTCTCCCGCCTTCGCGGGCCAGCCAGACTCCGCCAGCAGCCAGCCAGAGAGAGAGAGAGAGAGAAGGGATTCCTGGCCGGGTTCCAGGTCGGCGCACTAATACAAGCTGCGAGGCTCCCGCCTGACTGACGCCGGCGGAGGCTGCCTGCTCGCTCGCTCGCTGCTGCTGCTGCTGCTGCTTTCGCGCTGGCCCCTGCCGCCGTCGGGTTACTGCCGCCGCGTCCCTTTGCATGGTGAGTACTCTTGGAGGTGTTTTTTTTTTCTTTTAAGCGAGAGCAACTCGCTCCAGAGAAGTTAGGGCACCAGCAGCCGCCAGCAGGGAGACGGCGGGCTAGGAAGAAAAGGAGAGGCGCTCGCCCTACGGGCAGGTAAGAAACTTAGGCTTTCCTTCCCCTGCCCTGCCAGAAACACAAAATTGGCTGGAGTTGGCATCGCCACCCGCAGACTTTCTCCCCACCCCCGCCCGGGGTTGTTGTTGTTTTTTTTTTAATTTCCTTCTCTTTCTTTTTTGGCTCTTCGTCTGAGCTCTGTTCTCCCGGCTTTTTGCTGTCTGCAGCCTCCCTCAGATGAGCTGCTGGTTGCAAGCTTTTCATGCTTCTTTTTTGCATTGCACTTCATTTCATTGGAGGCGGGAGCTGCATCCTGCCTAACCTCGGCTCAGCAGAAGGTGCTAAACCCTGAACCAGCCCCTCGAGGGGACTTGCCATGATGCGTGCCTCTCATTTGACCATGCTGGATGAGACCCGTCTATCTTGTGCCTATAATGCATGCATAAAATACATGGAGAGGTGCTTAGGCTGCCGTCCTGTGCCCGCTTTATTGGGAGTAATCCTCGGTGGCCCTTACTTCTGAGTAGGCATGCCTAGGATCGGCACGCATGGCTAGCCTGCTCTCTTCCGTGGCGGGCTGCAACCCTGCGCGCACCTACTCGAGAGTAAGTGGCAGTGAGCGCAGCGGGAGCCGGTCTGCCGGGCGTTCCCCGGGGTAACCCCCGCTATCAACAGAAGGGCGCGCGAAGCCGTCGCGATCGCTTCGCTCTGGAACCGGAATCACCAACAAAACAGTGTAGTGTAAACTGACCGCGCGGTGACATCGCCCTCGTCTATTATTAACCTGCTGCCACTGCTCCTTGTTGGCATCGTTGTAGAAGCTCACACTCTTTGTGCCAGTAAAGGGAATGTGCTAAGGACGAATCTCTCTCTCTCTCTCTCTCTCCGCCGGAATAATTCTGTTTTATCTTCCCCTCCCGCTCGCTCCCTCCCTCCCCACTTCGCTACTTTTTTAAGTTTACAACGTGAGGTCCTTGCAGAAGGCAGCGAAAAGGCGGTTTGGGGAGGAGAGACTAGAGACAGGAGACAAACTGACGCCGGCATTGTGATGGGAAGGAGGGTCGCCAGGCGAAACGTTTTCACGGCTGGTTAAACGCTGTCAAGCCTTCCTCAGTCTCTTTTATTTTGATTCCTTTCTCTCCTTCGCGAATCAAAAGTGAATCCGGTTCATTTTTTAACTTCTTACGTGTTTTTAATAAAAATAAAAACAATATTTTAATTTCTTATGTTATGGATACATTTTGTTTAAGGAAATGTATCCGCACAGTCTCATCATCAGAAATAAAGGAGCACTTTAAAGACTACCCACATCATCATCATCAAAATAAAAGTGGCTCTTTAAAAGTGGAATAGATTTGTTGTGCCATAAGCATAATACTTCGAACCTGCTTGGCCCCAGTTTGAGGTTAAGATTTGCAGCATGATCTTATGCATGTCTACTCAGAAGTAAGCTTCACTGGGACTTACTCCCCGGTAGGTGTGTCCAACAGTGCATAGTTAAAACTATGGAACTCAATTCCAAAGGGGACTGACAACCACCAACCTAGATGGCTTTAAAAGAGAATTGGACAAAGAGAGCACTAGGGAAGATGTCTAGCCGTGATGGCTGTGCTCTCCACAGCTGGAAGGCAGTAATGCTGGAAACCAGGGTAGGAGAGAGTGGTCTTGTTCTTAAATGCTGTTTGCGGACAGGCATCTGGTTGGCCATTGAGAACAGGATGCTGGACTAGATGGACCACTGGATTGATCCAACAGGCTCTTCTTAATGTTCTTACATCGCAGCCTGACAAAGTTACCCCTTAGTCGCGAACTTGCGGTTCATGACTAAGTTGTGTGGTGAGGACCACACTGTGGTGAGTTCTCTTATTATGTGATGTTTCAGCTTCAGGGAAGGCAGGAGAAGGATGCACTTACTCTGCTGATGACTCAACTGAGTGGAGCTTTTCCAAGCTCTGCATCGCTGGCAGGATGATTTCTTATTACATGCAGCTGCTCTGGTCCTGGTCTTTCTCACACCTCCCCGAAAGTGGAGGTGTGTTCCTTGGGTGAAGGAACTGGCACTTGGGCACACCTGGGAGTTAGGTGTTAAGCCAAATCTGAGTTGGGAGTAAACATGATGATAAGCAGAGGAGAGGGAAGGTAGACTTGCACTTCCTGTTTCACACGCTTGCCTACCTAATTCAAAATACATTGTGCATTTCCCTGCAGCAGGAATATGTCCTTACTTTACTAGGAAAGAGATACAAGGTAAAGAAATTTGCTCAGGCTCCCACTCTTCCACTGCCCCTTTTTAGTTGTGTCTGAAATAATTCTCAGTTTGTACCTAACTTATTTATTACATTGGAAAAAACCTGCCATTCTAGGTGCTCAAAGCAGCATGTATCTTATCATCATTTTGTCCTGGTAAGTTAGGTCCATGATTGCCCAGTGAGCTTCATGGCTGTATAGAGACTTGAACCTGGGGCTCCATAACTCTAGTCCAACACACAGTCATGACTTATGCCCCGCTGGCTGCCCGGACTTGGCTGTGCTCCTTGCAGAAGTCTTCACTTTCATTTTGGAAGCCTGAACCCTTGGAGTGATATAAAAGTGCCATTGTCACCAGAGATTCAGTGTCTCCCAATGCTTTTACTACAGTGCCTTAACTATTAACCACACACTGCTTTTATGTCCAAATATAATGCATGACTGAAACAAGTTTGCCAAGGCTCAGGAAGGACAATTTAATAACAAAATAAAGTACAGTTTCCTTCTTGTTTGCTAGTTGAGAGGGGGCTGGGATGTTTCTTTCCTTATCTGTATCTAGAAGGTAGCCCAACCTCTTTCCTTTTGTTCCTAAAATTAATGATTCCTTGCTATCTCTTGGAAAGCCCCCTTTGCTAAATCAGTTCAGGCAGACCATCTCCTCCTCAAATACATCTTGGCCCTTGGCTGGAAGGGAGCTAGACACTGCTATCAGTCCTTCATTTGCACCTTGATTGCTATCTGGGGTTAGTATCCAGTCACTGGTGAGCTCCATGAGAAGTGGATGTGTGATAGAAGAGATGAAAGGAGGAGGGTGTGCTTAGGCCTGATCAAATCATGCTTTGGAGGAAGAGGAATGTGGCATCTGAATATAGTCTGATTCAGGCACAACTCTAAAGTATGGTTCACTGTTGCATGCATGCACCCTGGGCTTCTGGCCTCTCCTCCCAGCTTCTGGAGTGGTTGCAGTGATCAGAAGCTTTGCTTCCATTTCAGTCATTGACAGCTTATTGCTGCCTGTAAACCTGAAGCTGTGCTTAATCTTACGTATTGCTATTATTTATTTGTCACTTATACATACAGTGGTACCTTGGTTTACGAACTTAATCCGTTCCGGAAGTCCGTTGTTAAACCAAAATGTTCTTAAACCAAGACATGCTTTCCCATAGCAGCGGGGCACTCAATTTACAAATGGAACACACTCAACAGGAAGCAAAACATATTCTGCTTCCAAGGCAAAGTTCACAAACTAAAACACCTACTTCTGGGTTTACAGCGTTCTTAATCCAAGTTGTTCATAAACTAAGCTGCTCTTAAACCAAGGTACCACTGTACAATGTCTCACAATGACTATGGTGTAGGGCAGAGGTTGTCAACCTGGTGCCCTTCAGATGTTACGGACTACAATTCACAGCCAGCATGGGGAATAATAGTCAGGGATTACAGGAGTTGTAGTTCACAAGCTTTGGGGGGTGCTATGTTGTTGGCTAACTCTGGTTTAGGGAAACAAGCCAACTTCATATACCATAGCTTGAGGATAGCTTCTTTTAAAAAAGCACTCTAAAGACTAGCAACATTTTGTCTGGGTTCAGGTATAATTATAAACAGTTGTTAGTTAAAAACAGAGGTGAAGGTTTCCTATCTCCTCCTCATTGCCCACTAAACTCTGGCAGCATCAATTGCCTGTTTTTCCACCTCTCTTGATGGGGAGCTTTAATTCAGCCTCCGCACCCAAGCAGATTGCCAACACAGGTGGATGTGACAGCACAGGCACCTGTCCAGCAGGGAGGGGAAGTTTGTTGTGTATACCAATCCTGATTTGGAAACATCTTTCCATGTCACTCTTTGTCATTTATTCTGATGGCCCTTACATAAGGATAACCCGGTTCTCCATTCAGGAAACAGGAAGCCCTAATACTGAGATATAGGAGTAACATTGCACATTATTCATATTTGCAACTGCGTACTTATATTAGTACATGGTTCCAGGGTTTTTGAATCCCAGTTAAATAATGCAGATGAAATAGAATTACCGGTAATTGTTTTAGTGTAAGCTGGGAGCTTCTTTTTTCTCCTTTTTAGATACCATCCAGCTACATGCTAATAAGCAGTAATGTGCTGGGATAAATAGTTATACTGAGCAACAGAAATAGCATTTGTGTTTCAGACCTTTCACTTGTTTTGTGCATTGATTAGGGTTAGAGTTAAGTAAAAAAACAACAGCAGCAACAACTATAGAGTGAGGACTGCAATGAAAAGGAAAGAGAATAGACAAGTGTCTTAACTATTTAGGACAGCCTTTCTTAAACTTGGGTCTCCAAATGTTGTTGAACTACAACTCCCATCATCCCTAGCTACCAGGACCAGTGGTCAGGGTTGATGGGAGTTGTACTCCAATAAACAGCTGGGGACCCAAGTTTGAGAAAGGCTGACTTAGAACATATCACAGGCCAGATGTTCAAGAAAAGGAGGCAGGAAGGTGTTAATAGGTGTTCTAGTCCAAAACATTGGCGGTCATCTGGTTGGTGAAAATTTTATTGAAGGGTTATGGGTTTGTTCTCTCACGCCAAAAACTCATTGTCCTGTCATTTTGATATGAAAACGATTGTTAATGTTAATGTAGGCAAATGCTAGATTCCGTATGGTATTTTGCATTGAGC